TCTTCTTCTTCTTCTTCTTCTTCTTCTTCTTCTTCTTCTTCTTCTTCTTCTTCTTCTTCTTCTTCTTCTTCATCTTCATCTTCATCTTCATCTTCATCTTCATCTTCTTCTTTCTGTTATTTCCTCTTTTCTCTCCTTAACATTCCCTTTTGCAGGGTCTTCTGTAGTGCAGACTGGCCTTGCACTTGCTTATATAACTGAGGCTGGACTTGATCTCTCCTGACCCTCTTGCTTTTACTTCACCTCTCTAGTGGTGTGATTACAGATGAATGCTGTGTATCACAGCCAGTGTCTAATTTTCTTTTCTTTAAAAACACATTTAGCTTGGTGCAATGGTGCATGCCTATAATCCCAGCACTTTTGGGGAGGCAAAGGCAGACCGATCTTTGTGAGTTTGTGGCCAGCCTGGTCTACAGAGTGAGTCCAAGACAGCCAAGGCTACACAGAGAAACCCTGTCTTGAAAAAACCAACAAACAAGAAATCCAAACAAGGGTCTTCTGGAAGAGTAGCCAGTGCTCTTCACCACTGAGCCATCTTTCCAGCTCCTGTTTTTTGTTTTTTTAATTAATTTTTTTTATGCAGACTTAAAATTGAATAGACAAGAGGGGCTTGAGCTAGGCAAATTCCTGGGGCACAAAGTGACCTCCCTCAACCTGACCTGCCTGAGTGAAACTGTATTATGTAGTTACTCTAAGTTGTCATAGCACAGGTTTCTCTGACCTGGAAACTTAGACTGCTTTTGTAAGTAATGTGATGATGAGGATGATGATGATAGTGAGGATGGTTATGGTGATAGTAATGGTGATGATGATGATGGGTACCATGTTCTTAGAGCTAGTGGCTTACACTATAGTGTCTCATCTAAAATATGAACTAGAGTTGTCATTTGTACTTTACATATGTAGAAAGTCTTCGAAAGTTTAAATAACTGGTCCAGAATCACACACACATACATACACACACACACACACACAAGATGGGGTTTGAACTTGTGTTATATGACAGAGAGTTCCAATTCTTTACCACTATGCCATAATCAGTGTTCTCATTAATTGTGAAATGATTTAAGAGCCTTCTTCTGCCCATTATACTTTCCTTTCAGGTCCTTAACAAGGTGTGAAAATCTGCCACCTGAATTTCATGCTTGTATTTCTTGTTAAAATGTGAAAATTCTTGGAAGGGCTCTGTTTTGTCATTAGCAACACCTTAACCCTTCCTCTGACAGCTAATTAAAGATCAGACACTGAGGGACCCAGGCAGGTGGAAGTCCCTTTCTAGGAAACTACTTAAGGATATGCATATAACACTAGCCAGGCAGGCTTAGACTTGAGAAATCAAGCTGAGGTCTATGTAAAGTACTCAGCACAGATGTGGCTCAGAGGAAGACTATAAGAAATACTCCTAGTATAGTAGGAGTTTGGAAATAGATAAAAAATAATGTCACGGAGGTGGGAGGGCTGGGGTAGCCTCCCTGTGTGTTGCCATAACTTCCTCTTTATTAGCCCAAATGTGATTTTTTTCCAAGCTCTGGAACCTTCTGTTTCCAGGTTCTTGAGGCTTAAAGCAAGACTGCTTTTATCCAAATGCAGGTTTAAAAATGGGAAGCCAGCTCTGTAGACACTCATGTGCATGTATGTACATAATTACATACATACTCAGTCTCACATATATTCTCTCTCTCACATACACACACACACACAATTTCATACACATAAATGCATGTACACACACATCAGACAAACATACACAAAAAATAAAAATAAACATTAAAAAAAGGGAGACCAGGAAGAAGCAGAATAGTACTTGGTGTTCGTGCTTCTTCTCTTTCCTAAGCTCAGAGGCTTCGTAGATGTCATCGCACTAGTCTCCCATGGTGTCCGTGGGTGAAAAGAAGCAGCTTTGGGGAAGCCGGTTTCAACTTGGGCATGTGCTTGTCTTGGCCCAGTTAGAATCCCATGTTCCCACTTGCAACTCTTACTTTATGGTTTGGACTGTTCCGGGACATTTTATGCCCTGTTGGTCCTCATGGGATTTGGCAGACTGCTTGGGAATCGGTTAGAACTCAGCCACCAGCCTATTTCAAGCAGTTAAACAGAAAGGAAGACTGTGCTGACCCTTCTCCCTAGTATTTTCTCTAACCCCTCAAGAAGCATGCAGTCACCGCTGGTATTCCTTGAACATATGAAAGCACTGTACACACAACATTTACCTGTATAGCATCACGTGCTTGTTCCGAGGCTGATCTTGTGAAAGGAGCCGCAGTGTTGAAACAAGTCTGAAGACAGGGGTGGGGCATATGGGGGCAGGGTATCACTTCAAGCTCTCTTTCTTCTCGCCTGGAGCCTTGCAGTGGTGGGTCATGCACTATTTTCTTTTCTCAGAATAATTTTGCACTCATCAACACAGAGAAGAGCATCCACAAGGAATCAGAGACAAAGGAAACGAGGCGAGAGGAGGAGCTGGACACTGAGGTCCTGGAGGTGTTCCACCCCACGCAAGAGTGGCAGACTCTTCAACCAGGTACCAGACCACTCTGTTCCTTTGAAATACACAGAATTAAAACCACAAATGCCATTTGTTCTTGAAGATTGGGAGCAGCCATTCTCAAGGCGACCATTGGAGTGGTAGCTGTAGCACTGTGGGGTTTGGGGACCCTCATTCTCTAGCAGAGCAGAGTTTGTGGTGTATGAGAGCCCTGGAAGGGAAGCATGTGGTGGGTGGCCGTGCTGTCTGAGCAAGAGATGGAAAACTTTCTTTCCCTGCACAGGAGAGGCAGTGACATGTGCCTTGCTCTGCAAGGGCTATTTTGGTCTCTGCTTCTCGGCTCAATGCTGCTGAAATAGTGTTCATGGGAGAGTCCAGAGCACTGATGTGGGGCCCAACTGTTCTGTTAAAGGAACCTGTGCCAAGAAGAAAAGGGCTGGTCCTTGCCTGATCGTAACTGGGGCATTTTCAGAAGCAACAGCTTTCTAACCCTTTTATGACCCTATGTTCAGGGTTTCAAGTAATAAGGACAAGAGGCTACAGTTGTGAAATGCTTATTCAGGCCCACTACTAAGTTTCTTGTGTGCACCGTCTTTAGTCTGTGGAGGAATAGAATTTACTTTTGTTTTCCAGTGGAAACACTGAGGCTTGAGAGGTTAGATGACATGTCCTGTGATTTACCTGATGTCGTATGTCATGGACCTGAGCCTTGATCTGTTCTCTTCCCACTTCTCTCCCCATCTCCAGCTGTCCTTGGCTGGAGCCTACTCTGCCAACACTTGAGACTATTCTCAGGTGCAAACTGCTTGTGTTCTGTACTATGGCAAAGTGGATGGCATGTTCTGGCAGCAGCCATAGTATGGTTCCATCAGGTCCTTGCTGATATTCATCACTATGTCCTCACAGCCCCCATTGCTGCTGTGCTGCCAGGGATAGCATTTGCTGTGCCAGCCAGCAATATCACTCCTGCTAAGCTCGCATATGGGTAGTTGCTGCCGCGAAGACTGATGAAGCACCAGAGGAAGCCAAGTGGAAGCTCATGGCATCAGGCAGAGGGAAGTTTGAGAACAGAGGTACTTGATTCAGTAGACACGACTCTGCCTGCCCTCTCTCAGCTTCCCTGAGAACAGAATTTAGTCTTTGAGGAATAGCTTAGAGGGGCTTCTCAGGAGTGGGGAGGTAAAGGATGTGGCTATGTCCTCTGATTTTATGTGGGGTTGCTGGCCTGAAGTAGATGGAGGCTGGTGTTATGCATTCCTACTTCAACTCCATTTCTTTGGCTGGGTCAGTAGCCCCCGGTAAGCCTTTGGTCCACACTGCAGACACAACAGGGCTTGTAGTTCTGATCTTGAGCCTTGCCTATGTCTCTGGCAGAGGCACTGCTGCCAATGGTTCAAGAGCCCCTCCCTGTATGTATACATTGGAAGGGAGAGCCAGAGACTGTGACTAGAGTGAGGAGTGGGCCCCGAGAGCCCTCAGGAGAACTGGAGCAGAGCACTTGTCTTACAGTTAAGTTGAGGCTGCTTTGATGGCACCCTCCACCTTGTAGTTTCTCAAGAGCTCCTTCTAAACTCTCCTGTACAAAAGTCTCCTGAAGCTACTGCGAAGGCTGTTGCTGCTGAAGCACACTGCAGTGAGTCCTCTACCGGCATGTGTCATGAAGGCCTCGTTGGATTAGATATTCTGGTTTTTAGAGGAAAATGTCCCCCGTGTACACACTTACTTCAGTTGTGGAATTGCACGCCACTGAGAGTGCATGAGCATGTAGCCTGCTTTTCCTTGAGGTCTTTACCTGGGGAAGATGATTTAGGGTGTGAGGGAAAGACTTCCATGGTTATGAAACGCTCTCCCTTCCTCCTTCCAAAGCAGTTTTGGTAAGGGAGCAGGAATAAGCACAAACAGAAAGTTTAGTGAAGCATTTTTTTTCTGCTTGAGAGCCAGAGGCAGGCACAGGAAAATGGTGGACACCCTCTGGGGATTTTAAAGACAATGATGGTAAGTTCATGTCGATAGTTGTTGACCCTATCCAGGCCCACCAGCTCTGTCCTTCTATTCAAAGGACTTTTGGCCTTTGATGGGAAGGCTCTATCTCTGATTTCCTTTTGCCTCAAAGGGAAGAATACTAGGGTTATAGGATGTTTGGGTAATGGGATAGGTTTATTGGAAGGCAGATTTCCAGACTACCTGCTGCAGTCTAGCACACTACGGAAACAATGTATGACTTATAAAATCTTCCTACTAGGACAGGTGGGAACTTGGATTCAGCCACACAGCAAAACGGAGACAGCTACAGGTCTCTGCCTTGAGGACTGCCTGCCTCTGTTATTACTGTCAGCATCTTCACTGGGAGTTGCTTGTTCCTGGGAGTGATTTTCCTGTATCCCTTTCTTCTGGTTTATTTTGGGATCTGCCTCACCTAACGAAGGCACAGCAAGCATTTGGGTGTGGATTCATCATCAGCTGTTCATAAACAAGCAGGGAAAGCTGTTTGCTGGCAGGTCCTTTTGGTTCTGTGCAGGGAACTGAGACATTTGTCCTGGAGCTGAGGGCTCCTGGAGTCCAGAATTTTGTGCCTATGCACTTGTTATTACAGAATACTGATTACAGCCAGAATCCTTGGCTTTGTCTTTCCTGAGCATTTTCTGAGCTCCTACTTTGCTCTCCCCCAACCCTTTTTTTTTTTTTTTTTTTGGTGACTTGAAGGAGAAGTGGAGTTGAGGAGGACACCTGGACAAAGGCTACTCCTGCCCTTCCTGTTTGTCAGTGCTGCCCATTGGTCCCCCTGAGCTCAGGAAAGCACAACCTAGCTCAACCCAAGGCTTCTTATTGACCCGATTTGACTTCAAGGTGGCTGTGAGAATCCTTAAAACATTGGCATTAGAGCCCACTCAATGGGAGCATGCAGGAAGCCTGTGCAGGAACACGTTATGTGAGGGGTGGAAAAGAAAAAAAATCCAAATAATCAACAACTGATGAGAGCAATTCAAGAATTATAGAGTACCAGCCATCTGGTCAGATCATTTCAGATCTGCACAAGCAATAAGAGGGAATTGAATTTTAAAAACCTCATTTATAGTAGACCAACTACTCTGACTTCAAGTATTTAAGAGAGGAGCCTGATTTCCTTCAGCCTCTGGACATCTGTCTGAAGGAGCATGTGATCCTAGTCAGGGTGACGGCAAGGCTGTTTCTCTGGAGCTTTGCAGCTTCAGAAGGGCTGTGTGGTTTGTTATTTTTGTGGTACCACTTGGGTGTCCATTTCAGATGTCACTTTTAAATCTTGGCTACCTGTACCTCTCACTCATCAGGATTCTCATACTCTGTTCTCAAGTTTGATAATTTTGATAATTAGATAACCTCAGAACTCAGAACACACTATGTATTTATACCTGTTTGGTGTCAAGAATGTACCCGAGGAGCAGTTAAGGGGAAGAGGTGCAGACCATGAGCTCTTAGAGTACATGTGGAGGCCAGTCTGCCCAGCTCCCATGCCTTCTGTGAGTCCATCACCTTCCAGTTCAGGATGTGCTTTGAAGCCTATTCTTTAGGACCCTAAATGGAAGATTCATTACCTAAGCATGATTGATGCCAAGCATTGGCTATAGCTGACCAGTCGCCAGTCCCCCTGCACTCTCCAGATATAGAGGATGGATAGTAAAATTTCAGCCCTCTAAATTGTCAAGTTGTCTTTCTGGTGACCAGTCTACATGCCGAGTTATTCAAATCCCCACCAGAGTCACCTATTAGCATAAATTCTGGCATGGTTGAAAGGCACTTGTTGTGAATACAAAAGTCTCTGTCACTTAGGGAAATCCTATGCATTTTAGAAACACTGTGCTGAGGGGTGCAGGGCAAAGAAAGACTAGTTTTTTATGCATGCCACAGATTGTAGCTGAGGTGAGACTAAGGTTCAAAGCTTCTCCTATTTCTGCAACCTCTTCTGGTCTGTGGTTGAGAAGCAAAATGACCATCCTCTCCTAGAATCGTCTTTATAGGATACCACATTCTTCAGGATTCCTCCAAATGCCTCAGCTCTCCTGTTGACTCTATCCCACACCAGAACAGTAGGGCATCTGTGAGCCAGTGGGTAGGAGCCTAGCAGAGGACTAAGTGCAGTCCATATCTAAACATTTGTGAGGTCTGGGACTTCTTGATTGCCTCTAGGAGGTCATGACTTAAAGGAGGAGTCATCTGTTAGATGATCTTTAACTGTGGCTTAAATGTAGTGCTGAAAATGTGGAGGAGAGACTAGAGAGGAAACTGTAGCTTTGTGAGGGGTGTGTGTGTTTCTGACCAGCCTTTCTCAGGGTGAACTTTTAAGCACAAAACATATATTTTAGGTTGACATTTTTCAGTTAACAAGAACATTTAGAAGCAGAACTACAGGAGAAAGTTTTGTATATTTGTGACTTTTTTGGAACTATGAACTTCGATGGAGTAGGTCTTTGTTTTTGTTTTGGCTGGTAGTGCTGTCTATGTGATGAGTTTTAAGGCCTGAATGGTAAGATTACCTATGTATAAGGTTTTAATTATTAACCCTGTGTTATAAGTTTTAACTCAATTTTGTTACAGATTTTACAGATTTTTTAACCATATCTAATGAACTTATAAATCACAGGGTACAAAAAAATTCATAAATCTTGAGATAAGATTTATATCTTAGCAAAAGTTTTGGGCAGCAGTCTAATTGTTTTTAGCTGTTCTGCCTTGCTCTTTTTTATTTATTTATTTTCCTGCCACAAAGTCAGGTGGCTCACCTGATATTAGGACAGAAACTTTCCCACTCCAGAGCCAACTTTTTGATCCAGCACAACAGTATAAAACAATATTAAAGCATTATCAATACCAAAAAAGACATTTGAATACCTGCCAAGCTGAATCCAGTAACCAGAAAGCTCAGAGATAAGGAACTCTGACCCCTGGCTGTCAAAGTAGCAATGGCACCTGGTGGGGGCAGATTTGGGCCTGGGTGGTGGGAGTGCACGAAGCTGCCCTGGTTTAGCAGGACTGCCTTGAGGAAGGCATGATGCCAGGCT